GAGACTGGAATGTTTGCTAAAGAGGATGAGTTATAAGATAGACCAAACTCCTCTCTCTCAGCAATTGTAAATTCAAAATTAAGGGGTTTTAATCGAGGAAGTGTGGAAAAAAAGTAGAAGAAATAACAACCCTTTATTAAAAGATATATATATGTTGGCAAAAACAGTAACAGAACACACACAAAAAAACCCCCTAGACAGTAGTCCTAGAAAAAAAGGGTCTGAATGAATACTTCTCTGTCCTTTAGTGCAGTCCTAATCATGGTCTGCAGTTGACGCTGTTGGATCGCTGAAGGTGTAGGGCCTGCAGTTCTCTGTCATGTCTTGCAGGGGGTGCTGTTGGATCGCTGAAGGTGTAGAGCCTGCAGTTCTCTGTTGTGGCCTGCAGGGGGCACTGTTGGATTGTTGAAGGTGTGGGGCCTGCAGTACCCTGTCATGGTCGGCAGGGGGTGCTGTTGGGCTCAGGCAGTCACGGGGAGAGGGGTCCGGGGGGGGGGGGGGGGGGGCATTCCCGGACCGCGGGAGAAGCCGAGAAGGAAATGGGGACCCTTCTCTCAGTGGGAGGAAAAAAAGGAAAGGGAAACAGTCCACTCCCATGGGACACACCTCTGTCCCAGGTGACAGCGTCTCAAAACTCCTCCCTTCTCTCTCGTGGGCATGCAACTCTCCGATGAAACACAGCAGATCCAGGGAGCGGGACAGCCAGGCAAGTCGAAGTCAGCAGTCCGAGTTGACCAGGATGAGAAGCCAAAAACCAGATCCCAGTCCCTCTCCCCAAATGCCTGCACGCAGACCCCCGTCTCCTTCCGAGAGTCAACTCCCCCATCTGCCCCCACTCCCCTCCGAACAGAGCCAGCCACCTCCCAGCCTCCCTGATGGCCCATTAGCAAGGAATGTAGTTCGGCTGACTACATCTTTTGTAATGCTAATGACCTCCCTTCCCCCTTCCCTATTCAAAACTCTGTTTCTCTTACAGGGAAGCAGGGAAAGAAAAAATTCCTCTCTCAGATTTATAACCTATAACAGGACTCAACTTGGTCCTTATACAGAAGGATTAGTAGTAAGGTGTATTAGGGAGAGGTTTGAACATACTAAAACCTGAAAACCATGACACCGTTGCAAGTTCAACAAAACTGATATTTATGACCAAGAGGTGGCCAACAAAATGAACAAACCCAAAAGGGAGGAAGGAGGAGAGAAATAAGCCCCCAGCACGACCTCCCCAGTTACCCAGCTGTTGCCCATAAAGTTATCTTACCGACCTAACATGCCTATAATTACCCATAGCAGAAGCTGCATCCTTGGAGAGTCAGCGAGTTCACAAACTGGCAGGCATCCCTGCCAAAAGGCAACATTGTCCTTTGTGTGAAGTTAGCTCCCATAAGAAAAACTATATACTTTTTATACAATTAATTGAGTGATCACAACCTCCCAGGTGTAGCCAGCACCGCCCAACCAGAGGCCCTCAGTCCCACCTCCCGGTTATGTAAGTGCATGTCTTCTGTGCATGCATGAGAACTTCGGAGATCCCCTAACGCACACGCAGTATGCTTTGGGGGTCTTTTCTAATTGAGTTGGGGGTCGAACCTTCCTCCCCTCCTCATCACTTTCTCCTTCAAATGCCCTTGATGGACAATTAGCCAATCACAGAACACCAATTAAAACAGTTTATACAGAAGTTCTCACTCCAAGGACGAATTCACTGTTTTATCAGTGAACTTGGCAGGAAGAATATAAACTACTGCAGGTGACTGGGGCCAAACACAGACCAAAAGTATCAGCATAAATTCATCCTAGCACATAAGGTTCTGAAGGAATTTCATTACTGTAAAAATATTGAAATACTGTTTGAAATTAAGAAAAAAATCAAAACAAATGTTGTGGTTTAACCCCAGCCAACAACTAAGCACCACAAAACCTCTCACTTGCTCACCTCACAGTGGAATGGGGGAGAGAATTGAAAGGGTAAAATTAAAAAAAACTCATGGGTTGAGAAAAAGGCAGTTTAATAGGTAAAGTAAAACCCACTGTAGCCTAAAGAGATCGTGGAGAAAAAGACTCCAGGCCAATTTAGTGTATAAGATAAGATAAAAAGAACAGGTCCTTTAATCAGGCCTCAGGCCCAGGGGAATACACATGATGCATGCCCACCCAGAAAGTGGTTCTATGATTTTATAATAAGGTCCATCCAATTCCAGATATATCCACCCCCTGGTCCTGCTCAGTTCTGCCACGTCCCTTCAGGAATTGGGTCTGGGGGCATTTGGGACCCCTTCTTCCTCATCTTCATCTTCTTCACAGCACATACAGTCCTTGGAACTCCTCCAAACTTCTGGGCTTGAAGGCTGTTTTGTCTGTGTGATATCTTCTGGTCCAGGCCTAGGGTGCGATGTTCTTAAACAGATGTGTTTTTCTACAATTCTACCTTGAAAAGAAGACTAAACACACTAACAGAATTTAGGATTGATATGAAATGGGATAATCGAGTTGGGTATGTGTAAACTATTATGCTAAAACATAAGGAATATAATGCAGCTACATTAAAATCTACATTTACTACACAACTATTTCTAAAATCTACAAAAGTTAAAAAATCCAAAAGGCTCTAAGGTATCACCGTGAACACAAGCAAAGCAAAACAAGGGATTCTTCACAATTTCCCAAAGTGTTCTTTCATCATCATCTTCATAAACTTTTGAACCTTCCCTAATTTGGGTAGTTTCCTTGTGCATTTGGCAAGGACTTTCAGTATCTGGCAAGCGTACCTGATTTCTTGGTTTGTCCCTTTTCTTATCTCCTTTTGTTTTTCTTCCATATGTCCTTTTTTGTGTGTGCTAGCATTTTTAGTTCTTTCTGTTCATGCTTATGTTCTCTCATGTCAGAGTGTCCTGTATTCTAGTGAATTTATTGCCTCCGCTATTTCTTAATACTAAGTTCTCTATGCTTGCATTCTGTGTTTAACTCTCTCTAATCCTTACATTGCTCTACTAAATTAGCTTTCCAGGTTTTACCTGGTTTCATTTCCCCCCTTTTTCTTAAAACTTACGAATTCCTTTGTCAAGTTCTAATCCTAGAGGGCGTTGATATGCTTGTACCATCGCCCAGATTATTTGGGTTCTTCTGACCATAGACTTTAACTTACACCACAGACATATATTCATGAGGGTTAACAGGAACATGGTCATGGTTATAATTAATATTGGGTGTATCAGGTAGTGAAAGACTTGTGCTGCTGTCAGGGAGTATCCTGTGAAGATATCCCACCAGTGATGTTGACCTACTTGTGCAACTTTTGTTAGGATATTTTTTATACCTTTTGAATTATGCTCTACCTACCACAACATGCGTTGAGTCGTTTGGTTCACCTTTTGAACTAACTTCTCTACTTCAGGGTGTACGAGCATTTCTTTGAGGAGCTTAGTATCCATGCCTATCTGTAGCTTGGGTATTTCATGATACAAAGTATACTTAGCTTCGATTAACTGCTGCGTAATTATGGGAGCGGTGTAGTTAAAGTCACACCCTATAGCTTTAGTGAAGTTACATATGCAAAAGTTAGTATCATTAGTCATTTCATGACAATTATCTATAGTAACATCATTGCAAGGGGTTGTAATACAAGCGCATCCATTCCCTATATAGAATACTTGTGACTGGGCTCTATTGTGTGGAAGCATTTCAAAGGTACATACACTGTCTTCAGCATCTAAGCATAGGTCTTCAGCTTCTATAATGACATTTTCGCAAATATAACCTAATTGCCCTTTAGGGATACACGCTTCTGTACTAATTGACTGCCACTTGTTCTTAGTACTGTCGTAGTTTGCCCAGATGTTATGGTCTACAGGTTTGACAATGACATTCTGATGTATAGCTCCTAATGTTAAAATAGGAAATATTGCTCTTTCTTCTGCAGCGCTGATAGTGAGGACATAGGTTTCAATGTGTTCCTGTTGTGGATCATAAGTAAAGTTAACTAGTTACCACCAAGTCTGGTAGTCTTTTTCAAATCGTGTAGTGGAGCTATCCCTTAGTATGGTTTCCCTTATTTCTTGAGGTAGTATGCCTGACATTCCCTCTCTTAATATTCCTGCTGCTACTGATTCTACCCATTGTTCTGTCTGAACACACTGGATAGCAAGTGCAATTTCTTTGCTAATATCCCCAGTATAGTCAGTAATTTTAGCAAAATCTTCAGCGGTATGGTTGGCTACTAAGGTCATCAATCTAACTACCAATGATTGTGTCTCTGCCAAAGTTAGCATGGATGAACTTAAAGGTACTTTAAGCTTTCCCAAATTAGAAGTGACAGTACTTAACTTATTTACTAATACTTCTTGATCTATAGTGTTTAATATGCCAAACCCCGTGCCAACCCATCCACAGTTTATCTGTACTTTCTTCAGAGAATATGTAGGATATTACTTGAGGCCCTATAAAGGTTAAATTATGTATTTTTCTACATTCTAGAGGTGGAGTGATTTCACGAGATGGGCTCACGATTGAATCTGTCGCTAGTCTAATGACTCGCGTAAAGGCTCTACTGGTTACAATGCCTTGTTCACCAATGGGTTCAAGAATCTTGGTTTCCCTACTACATGAAAATGACATCGATTGATCTAGCTTGAATAGAATTTCACACTGTACTCTACTTCCTTCAATACTATCCCACTGACATGAGACTGGTCCCTTCCGTTGAATCCAAACAATGGGCTCTTCATCTTCTACTTGGCTATAAGTAATTAAATTCTGTCTAGAGGCTTCTTGTCAAGATCCAATTGTCAATATTAGTTTATCTCTTTTTCCCATTAGAACCTCGACCTCTCGGCACCCTATTTGAATTTGGTCTCCCTTTTGCGCTATGAAATGGGTCTTGCTATCCCATTCATCTAATGTGTAAGGTTGTTTGTTATGTAAAACGTAAACCTCAAAGTCTGGATTTTCCTCTAAGCGTGGTAGTTTGCGTGCACTAGACCACGGTCCTTCTGGAGTTAGGTTTTGGGACAAAACAATACTTATCAAAAGTCCAATGGTCAATGTTGAAAGGGTTTGGAAGGGAGTCGGATTCATGATGTTGGGTCTTCTTGCTTATCTTCCGGAGCTCTCTTGACTCGAGAATAGTGGATCCATGTAGGTCGCTCCTTGATCCTAACCGCGGTGAAGGTAGTCAGCAGCACTTGGAAAGGTCCCTCCCACTTCTCTTGTAGGGGTTTTCCTAAAAGATTCTTAACATACACCCAATCACCGGGGTTAAACGGATGCAGTTTACAGTTAGGTTGTTTGGGCTGGTGTTCTATTACTACCGTGGCGTTTTTATCAAAATGTTTCCCTACAGCAATTACATAATCATATATATATTGATTACCTATTTGGTCTATAGCATCGCTATTTACAATCTGCATAGCATAAGGTCTACCATACAGAATTTCAAACGGGTTCAACTTCTCTTTTGATCGAGGTTTGACTCTCAATCTAATCAGAGCAATAGGCAAAGCTTGATACCATTGTAAGTTAGTTTCTTGGCATATTTTAGCAATTTGTTTTTTGATAAGATGATTCATCTTTTCTACTTGCCCACTGGTTTGTGGCCTGTAGGGCGTATGTAATTGCCATTTAATCTGCAATGCTTTGCTTATTGTTCTCACAACCTTTGCACAAAAATGGGAACCTCTGTCTGAGGATATACTTCTTGGTACTCCAAACCGCGGTATAATTTCATTTAGTAAGACTTTAGTTACCTCTCTTTCTTTGTTTGTCCTGCAGGGGAAAGCTTCAGACCACCCAGAAAACGTACCAGTAAGCACCAATAGGTACCGATACCCCCCCTTTTCTTGGGAGTTCAGAGAAATCAATTTGCCATACTTCACCTGGGAATTTACCTCGATTTATTGCCCCTTGGTGTATCTTGGTCCCTGTGTTTGGGTTATTCTTCAGGCATCGTTCGCACTGGGATGTAACCTGTTTTATGGTAGTGAATAATTTTGGTCCTGCTATTCTAGTTTGCAAATACTGATAAAGTGGATCTAAACCCCAATGTTCCTTCTCATGTTCTGTTTTTACAAATTGCCACATTAATTTCCCTGGTATTATTAGTTGTCCTGTTTCCAATTGACCCCATCCATTATCTAATAATTTACCTTTGTTCCTTTGAATCCAATTATGATCTGATTCCTGATAATCTGGTTGAAAGTTTGTATCTAGCTCCCCTGGTACTAAAGCTGTTATAGTCACTTCTTCAGTCCTTGCAACAACTAATTTAACTTCTGCATCAGCTTTCCTATTTCCTATCTCTGGAACAGTGTTACCTTTCAGGTGTCCCTTACAATGCATTATGGCCACTTGTGCTGGGAGTTGGACTGCTTCTAACAATCGTAGAATTTCCTCTGCATGTTTGACTGTTTTCCCTTGAGCAGTTAGCAGTCCTCTTTCTTTCCAAATTGCTCCATGAGCATGCACGACAGAGAAGGCATACTTAGAGTCTGTCCAAATATTAATTCGCATGCCTTCTGCCAATTCCAGAACTCGGGTAAGGGCTATTAGTTCTGCCTTTTGGGTTGAAGTCCCTGCAGGTAAAGGATTTGATTCAATTCAATTACCTCTTCCGTTGTGGTCACTGCATAGCCTGCCATCCTTACTCCTTGCTTCACGAAGCTACTGCCGTCAGAGAACCAGTTGTCTGCATCTTCAAATGACTCTTCTTTGAGATCCGGGCGGCTGGAGTAGACTGCTTCGATAGTTTCCAGGCAGTCATGCTCGATTGGTTCTGCTGACATCCTTCCTTCTAGAAATGTGGTTGGATTCACAATGTTAGTTACTTGAATGGTTATGTCGTCTGACTCAGCTAGGATTGCTTGGTACTTTAGGAATCTGGAAGGCGACAACCAATGGTCACCCTTCTGTTCTAGTACTGCGGACACAGTGTGGGACACCAACACAGTCATTTTCTGGCCCATCGTGAGTTTTCTGGCCTCTTCTATGTTTATGATCACTGCGACCACTGCTTTCAGACAACTGGGCCATCCTTTGCTTACTTCATCCAGTTGCTTGGAGAAATAGGCTACGACTCTTTTGTGTGGTCCCAACTGTTGTGCCAAGACTCCTAAAGCCATCCCTTGCCACTCATGAGAGAACAGCCAAAATGGTTTTGTTACATCAGGGAGGCCCAAAGCCGGGGGTCTCATGAGTTCTTGTTTCAGTCTTCTAAAAGCTCCCTCTGCTTCGGGAGTCCAGACTAGGGTATTCTTAGTTTCTTTTAGTAAATCATACAGTGGTTTAGCGAGTACCCCATATTGATAGATCCATAAACGGCACCAACCTGTCATTCCCAGAAAGGTTCGTGGATCTCTCACCGTTTCTGGTTTAGGCGTTTGGCAGATGGCTTCTTTCCTCGTTGTTCCTAGGGATCGTTGTCCCCTGGAAATCTCATATCCCAGGTATACTACTTTTTCTTGCACCAGTTGCACTTTCTGTTGAGAGACTCGATATCCACTTAAACCCAAGAAATTCAACAGAGAAATAGTCCATTTAACACACTCTTCCTCTGTTTCAGTTGCTATCAGTAGATCATCCACGTATTGCAGAAGAGTGCCATCTCCCTGTGACCTTTCCCATTGCTCCAATTCCTTGACCAACTGATTCCCAAAAATTGTTGGGCTATTCTTATAACCCTGAGGTAACACTGTCCAGGTTAATTGAGTCTTTCTCCCTTTGTTCACAGATTCCCATTCAAAGGCAAAAATCTTTTGGCTTTCTGGGGCTAAGGGAAGGCAAAAGAATGCATCTTTTAGATCCAACACTGTGAACCAAATTAAATTGTCCTTTAACTTAGTTAGGAGTGTGTAAGGGTTAGCTACCACCGGATGTAGTGTTTTTGTTATTGCATTCACAGCTCTTAAATCTTGAACTAGTCTATAAGTTCCATTTGGTTTCTTAACTGGCAGGATTGTTGTGTTATAGTCTGATTCGCATTCTATTAATAACCCTAATTCTAGAAATTTTCTAATTATGGGTTTGATTCCTTTTCTATCTTCCAATCTCAATGGATATTGTTTTCTCACCACTGGTCTAGCTCCAGGTATAAGTTCAATAGCGATAGGTGTTGCCTGTTTTGATTTCCCCAGTACGTCAGTAGCCCATACCAACGGGTATGCCTCGCTCATAATTCGCTCGATATTATGGCTTTCAGGTTTTGGTTCTATGCAACTGATCGTCAAACTTAAAGCTGTGATCAGTTGCTCTTCATTTACCTGGAATTCAAGTTTGTCTTTGTTGAATTTTATTACAGCTCCTAAATTTTCTAATAAATCCCTACCTAGTAGAGACTTTGACACATTTTCAGGATTTATGACAACCACAGCGCACTTTGGTGAGAAAAGTTGAGATGTCTGGAAACATTTCTTAACTGCATTTGCACATATGAGTGTGCCAAAACAGGTGAAAACGGACAATGGACCCTCATATGTGTCAAAAGAAACCAAAGATTTCTTTGCATTATGGGGAACTGAACATATAACTGGAATCCCTCACTCCCCTACAGGTCAAACAATCATAGAGTGTGCTCACCACACTCTCAAAGATATGCTAAAAAAGCAAAGAAGGGGGAATACAGGGTTAGTTCCACAAGATTGTTTGAATAAAACTCTGTAAATACTTAATTTTTTAAACAGAATGACAGAAAATTCCACCCCAGTATAGCGACACATTATACCTGCATACATGCCTGAAAATTCAAAACCCAAAGTAATGTTTAAAAATCCATTTACAGACCAGTAGCAAGGTCCTTGTCCTTTGATAACATGGGGAAAAGGGTATGGTTGTGTTTTAACAGATCGTGGACCGAGATGGATCCCCTCACGTTGTATACGACCATCTCTTGCATTGTCTTCATGACCACCGGAATGCCTGCAAGAATGCCTCCTCCTGCTCCAGTCCCACCTAAATGGTTAACTTCCAGCAGAAAAAACGTTTGGACCACCTTAGTAAAAACCATTAGAACTGACACCCTGTGTCTGTCAGTTGCCACCCTGACGAACCCATTTCAGACCTGTCTGGTAGGAATCCCACTCTCCAGTGAAGAATGGGATGCTTTTTTGGAAAAGCACCAACCCTCATGCTCACACCCAGAAATTCATAATGTACCTATAGATGACTGCCACGAGAAACATAGCACAGATTGTGGCGAGCTCAAAAAGCCATATCAAAATTATTTTACAAATTTAACTGTAGAACCTCAAGAATTAGATGTCATGGGCAGCTTAACTGCCCCCCTGTGTTTCTATTTTTACCCTGAAAATCCACACACACATGACCCATTGAATTTAGATGCATCTCCCATGGGAGCATACCACAATGACAGTTTTTGGTGCAAACACTGCTTGAATGCAGTTAACATCAAATGTAAAACCTTTCCAATTGGACTGCCAGGTGATCTGTTCCTAATTTGTGGGGAGAGAGTGTGGAAAGGCATTCCTAGCAAAGCAGAAGGAGGACCCTGTACTTTTGGTAAACTTGCTCTGTTTAATCCAGTAAAAACTCCCTTGCCTTCTAAGAGCTTTTCACCCAGTAAATGTCTTAAACGCTCCTTTAACAAACAAGATTTTAATACACATGGGTTTAAGGCAGATCATGATTCTGAAATCATATTTTGGAACCACACGCAGAGATTTTTTAGTAGTTTTTTAATTCCAGGCATAGGAGTTGGTCATGCATTGGGAGTGCTTGACAAGATGGGATGTTGGCTGGCAAAGGAAGCCAATGCCACCAACTCTGCCCTAGAGGACTTGCTTACAGACTTTATCTCTGTGAGACAAGCCACCCTACAAAATAGAGCAACCATAGATTTTTTGTTACTAGTTCATGGTCATGGATGCAAAGATTTTGAAGGGTTATGTTGCATGAATTTGAGTGACCACTCAGAATCTATTCACAAAAATATTGATAAGTTGAAAACTTTAACCAATCAGCTAAGGGAAAATAATGAAAGCAAAATTAGTAGTCTGATTGGTTAGATGCCTTTAATATTGGTGCAGGGTTTAAGAAAATACTTATTGTAGTATTTTTGGGAATTTTTGTGTTCCTTTGTATTTTGTTATGTGCTCCTTGTTTATTCTCTTGTATTCAGCGAATGATCAAAGTTTTTCCCAAGCTTTTCTTTTTCAGTTACAAGATAAAAAAGTTGGAGATGAAGGGGTCCCAAACCAACTGTCAGCAAAAAGAAACTTGGTCAGTTTGAACCATAAACCTTGGGCAACAAGAACTGACAAGAATCTCGTGATCTGAGGATTTGGACCTTCCTCACAAGACTTGTTGATGTACAACCCTGGGAATTAACCTGACTCCAACAGAATTAAGAAAAGGACTTTTTGAAATGATTGTATCAGACCATGTCTGAACCCCTTTAATCCCTTCCCTCTATGTAATCTTGATTGAGAGAAAAATTAACTTATTGACTAAACTGCAGTAAAACTTGTGTAACTCCCTAATTAACATAGCTCGTCCTCCTCATTAACATGTCCAGCTCCCAAGGCCCTTAAATTGCATTCGTGCGTTCAATAAACTATTCCAGTTATACCCCATACTGGGATCGAGTAGTTTTTAGATCGCCACTGAGAAGTCCTAGAGAATTAGATAAGGGATGTAACTCAAGCAAACATGATGTAAGTTGAACTCTGTGTACCCAGATAAGATAAAAAACAAATGTTTCAGGTTTTGTGGTGAAAAACAATGATCCTGTGCCTGCTCAGAACTGAGGTCAAGAACTGGACACCTCAACTTTGGGGGGGCACTAGATGCAAAAAAACCACCAGTGACCCCTGAAGAAGACTACGAAGGACCAAATAAGGACTTCTGATAGGGGGTGTGACTATGTAAAGCAAAGTAATGTATATGTATTAAGTAAATGAGAATATCTAATAAATATGTAAACAGTATGTGTAATAAGAAGCCGTCTATCGCTTAGTACACTTGATTAGAGGAACTATCCTCCAAACATCCAGCGCACTGCAATAAAGAATGCCTGCTTATTAACACCTACAAATTGGTGTTAAGGAGTTTGTTTCTGCTGCTTTTTGGTACCATTTCTGGCACCCCAGATGGGACATCTCTGCCAGATCTTCTGTGGATCTGAGGGATCTCTGGATCTTCATGTCAGCACTGGGGCTATCCTGGAGAAGACCACAGATCCCCAGACCAGTCTAGAATGCTGGTAAGATCCCATTTCATAATAAGGTATTCTTTTTGGGAATCCTGCCCATATAAGACATAGAGGATTCTTCCCCAGCAGAACCTCTGGTTACAACTAAGCTGGGGAATGAAGAAGTAGAATTTTTAGTAGATGTGGGAGTTAGTTGCTCTGTGTTAAATACAGTAAAAGGAAACTTAAGGAAACAATTCTATAACAATTGTTGGTGTGACAAGGAATTGTGAAACCCAACCATTTTTGAAGCCTATTGATTTTAAATTAGGAAAACAGTGGATGACTTACCAGTTTTTGTATTTACCTAATTCACCAAAGCCTCTCCTTGGGAGACATCTATTGGAAAAATCAAATGATAAAATCAAATTTAAAAATGGCAAAATACGGGTTTTTCCAGAGTGTAGTTATGTGGAAGCTTCTATTTTTACATTACAGTCTCCAAAAGTGGAAGTAATCCATCTGCCAATATCACTTGAGGATGCAGTGATTCCTATAGTATGGGTTGGAGAGATGCCCAGGTGATCCAAAAGAGCTGAGCAGTGATCAGCAAGACTCAATCACCCTTCATTAGTCTCATATGGACAGTGCAAGAGTCTGAAAGAGGGTGGAGGCTAACAGTGGACTCTTGTGGTTGAACGATGTTACACCACTGTTGAGTGTTGCCATACCAGACATGCTAGAACTCTAATATAAACTCATATAATATGCTGTTCTGAAGAGGGAAAAAAAGATCCACACTTGTAGCAGTGAAGAGAATCCCTTCAAGTATTAATTCACTGAGAGACTTTTCTGCAAATGAATCCTGGCTTGTATCAGAAATAGTGTAGTCAGCAGAACTAGGGCAGTGATTGTCCCCCTGTACTTGACACTGGTGAGACCACACCTCAAATACTGTATTCAGTTTTGGGCCTGATGCCTTTGAACTTTTTGGATTTTTAGCTTTTTGTAGATTTTAGA